TGGCCATGTTTTCTGAGAGGAATCTAGAAATCTAGATTTTTGTGTGAAATCAGATTTTTAAAAAAATGTTGGAGGGCTGGGGATGTAGCTCAGTGGCGCCACACCTGCCTGGCAAGCACAAGGTTTTAAGTTTGATTCCCAGGACCAGAAAAATAAATAAATAAATAAATAAATAAAATTTAAGAAAATATGTTGGGGCCAAATTGAATTAAAAAACCCAAAAAGCCAAGCCGGCAGGGCAGCAGACAACAGCTTGAGAGGCTGAAGCAGGAGGGTAGCAAGTTGGAGCCCAGCCTGAGCGACTTAGCAAGACCCTGTCTCAAAAAAAAAAACAAAAACAAAAACAAAAAAACGCGGGGGATGTGGCTCAGTGTGAAAGCCCTGGGTTAAATATGTGCATGGTGGGGAGCCAGGCTCGCTACACATCTGTACTCCCAGCCACTTGGGGGACAGAGGAGGGTCACTTGAACCCAGGCGTTTAAGAGCAGCCTGGGCAACACAGTGAGACTTCATCTCAATAAAACAGAAAAGGAAGAACATCCTGTGAAAGAAAGCCCGCCTGTAGGCTAGATGGGACCACAGCAGGGTGGTAGCTGCTGATGGCATCCGGGAGTGCTGGGGACTCGGATAGGCTTGTGGGGCCCATTCTGACCACTTTACCATGTGGAGCGTTTAGTGCATAAGGAGTCTGTTCTCGTGGGTACTCAGTAGTTCTTAGCCTTATCTGGATTGGGATCGCCTCTGAAACCTAGTGAAAACTCCCTCTGGGAAACGTACAGCTTGTGTACGCACCAGTGGGGCACGGAGTTCATCCCGAAGACCAGACCCAGCTTTTCATTCAGAAACCCAGCCCTGCCGAGGGACTCAGTCCCTGTGGGAACACCCCGAGGTCTTGCTGCACTCTGCAATCCCATAATGTTCAACCTGTGATTTTAAACTGGTCCCTGTATGTTGTTTTCTCAACTTTCCCAAACCCAGACATTCTTCCCATTAGTTTTGAACTAGGTAATTAGTACTTTGCTGTTTCACAAACAGAAGTGTGTCTGTGTGAAGGAGCCGTAGGGGTGGGAATGGAATGATTCTCCTCCTAATCCTGCCCACGTCTCCCTGGTCTTCCCCAACGCTGTTGAGACAAAGGGAAGACTGGAGAAAAGAGGCTAACAGAGTAGCATTCTGGCCATGCTTGCCCATGTGGGAATGCAGGAAGAGCCAGTGAGCCGTTTCATGGCTCCAACCTGCCGCTGAGCCTGCCACGTTTGCAGGGAACAGCTGTAAAGTCCAAAGACGGTGGCCTTGTCCTCAGTGAGGCCTTTAAGCATTGCCAGGGTGGGAGGGTGTGTTCACCGTGGTCAGAACGCCAACCCTGAGCTAGATTCTGTCAGAGAGGCATTTTGAAGGTAACTACTTTCTGTACCCAGTACACATAAGAGAGCAGAAAAGGTCAGCTGAGTTCGGTGAAAGGTGTGTTCTCCTTTCTCTTGTAGCTTTCAGTTTTTGAATTTAGGGGAACATGAAACTTAACAGGTCTGTACAGTAACCAAAGTCCTTGCAGTTGTTAATTTGTTAAAGGCAGTTACAAAACAGAGTTAATGGCCATCTCAGCTTTCATAATGACTTATGGAGCACACCTAATGTTACTGTGTGATTTGTGTTATATGAGAAACCCAAATTATAAATAAAGAGCAAAATAAAAGGATAGGAAGTAGGGGAATGAAGCTTTCTCAAAGGGGCAAGAAATGGGTAGGGAAGCAAAGGAGATTTAAAAAGAAACAAGATATGTTATGTACATGTTCCAGCTCCACGCAAAGCATGTAAACATTAGGTACAGCAAACATTACGTGCTTATAAAAAATAAATGTGTCAATTTAAGAAATACTTTGCTTTAAGCGTATCTTGAAGAATGAATAATGTAATATAATACCTTATTTTTAAAATTACAAAGTAAGATAGTTATATGTTTTACTAAAAAGATTCACCATAAATAAATACATTTCTAATAGACAAGGAACTGCTGGTCTGTTCTAGTTTTTGAAAGCCTAATTTGAGAAATTTGTCATTGCTAAGTCACTAAAGTCTACAAACATGATTTTTTTAACATCTTCAAGTACATTATTCCTTTCTTTTGCTTTTTATTTATTGCTTTGTTTTGTTTTTTGCGGTGCTGAGGCTCAAACCCAGGGCCACACACATGCTAGTCAGGTGCTGTACCACTGAGCAACACCTCTAGCCCCTACATTTTCAGTTTTCAGTTTGTAGTAACACCTCATTTCTAACTTGTCCATAATTAGTCTCCTTGCTTCCAGCCCATCTCTTGCACAATGAGATTTATCATTCTCCAGGCACAGCTCTGCTGTCCTCATTGCTTATAAATCAGTCACTGGATCTATCTTTATGTGCTCCCACCTCCATCTGCTTGCCTCTCATTAATTTGGCAGGTGAGACTGTGCGTCAGACCTGGGTCTCAGCTATGTCATTCGGCCATTGTTAGTGAAAACACCAGTTCAGTGCCCAAGTCAAGCCCAGTCTTGTGCAGCCCTCGCTCTCCATCCTGTGCATGGTCTCTGTATCTTTGCTTGGACCCCGAATCCAGGTGTGTTAGGAATCTCAAGGACCTGGCTTAGTTAGTACCCAGCTTGTGGGAGACACTCATTAAATAGCAGTGTCTTAGCTGGGCGTGATGGTGCACGCCTGTAATCCTAGCTACATGGGAGGCTGAGGCAGAAGAATCGCCACAAGTTCAAAGCCAGTCTGGGCTACATACTGAGTTCAAGGCCAGCTTGAAGTCTATCTTGAGACCTTGTCACAAAACTGCAAAAATCCAGGTAAATAGGATGCATGTGCCTGCCACCAGGTGGTATAATTCAGTATGGGTGAGCCCTAGATTACATTTCCAAGTTCTTTGTCAGTGTGCTGCCTGTCAAAAAGAAAGAAAAAGAGCTGATACTCAGATGAAAAGAAGACGAGGATGGTTCTTTTCCATTTGAATATAATGGACATTAGCAGCCAGGTATGGTGGCCCACACCTGTAATCCTAGCAATTGGGAGGCTAAGGCAGGAGGATCCCAACAAGATGGAGGCTATCCTAGGCTGCATAGTGAGACTTGGTCTCAAAACAAAACAAAACAAAAAGCTGTGCTCACTGCTCACTTCCTGGAATTGTCCCATTAAAGCCCCTGAAATCAAATGTTTATGAACTACTAATGCCCTATTGTTATTGTCAACTCTAGACAATTGCTGAACTGAAAAGTTGCTTATTTAAAATCATACACCTGCAAGGGACTTAGGAAATTGAATTGAGAATTCTGAAGCCAGAGAAATTACATTTTGAAAAGTTGGTGAAAGAAAGGGGTCTAGAATTCTCTAGCCTCACTCCCTTATCCATGAAACCACCCATTTATTATAAGTGTGTGTGTGTGTGTGTGTGTGTGTGTGTGTGTGTGTGTGTATGCGCGCGCGCACTGCTGGGGCTATATCACTTTAAAAATTAGTGAGACTGGGTCTCACTAAGCTGCCCAGGCTGGACCTGAACTTTTTGTCCTCTTGCCTCAGCCTCCCAGAGTGCTGGGATTGTAGGTGTGCCTCGCCCAGCTTTTTGCTTCATTTTATTTTGAAAGTTGTGATAAATGGGCCAGAAAGGAATTCAGTGTTGAATATCTGGTTTATGGAATGTGGATTCCTATGACATTTATTGTGTTACACTTAAAAACCAGAGCTTCAGGGGCTGAGGAGGGAGCTCCATGGTACAGCGCTTGCCTGTTATGTGGAAAGCCCTGGATTTAATCCCTAGCACTAAAGAAAACAAAAGTACATGAAAATAAAAATTAGAGCTCTGGGCTAGGAGCCTAGCTCAGTAGTAGAGTGTTTACCTGTCCATATTGAGCCTCAGCACAGCAAAACAATGATAAAAAATAAGGATTAGAGTTTTTAAATGGTCGTAGTAATCTCCAACAACAATTTATCCTGTTGTTACTGCTTTTCCCCCTAGATTCCACGATGCTTTACTGCACTTCCCTGAGGCAGACATTTTCCTTATCTGTGGATCCCAGAATTTGCTAAGAGATGGAAGAGTCTCAAGAAAATGACCTCAACATCGTGGGTCCAGAGAAGGACGACCCTCTGGAAAGCCCTAGCCCTCAGATTTCTGTCAGCGAATTCTCGTGCCACTGCTGTTACGATATCCTGGTTAACCCCACCACCCTGAACTGTGGGCACAGCTTTTGCCGACACTGCCTAGCTTTGTGGTGGGTGTCGTCAAAGAAAACAGAGTGTCCGGAATGCAGAGAGAAATGGGAAGGCTTCCCCAAAGTCAACATTCTCCTCAGGTAATGCTGGGTTGGATCGGAAGCGAAGATGGCTTGTAAGGTGTGGTTTCTCTTACCGGGGGTAGAGGGTTTGAAAAGGCCCCAGGCTCCGAGCCGGCCTCCTGGGTAATCATTCTGGACCTGTTAGACTATGAGTCGAAAAGCTCAGGGCCTGAAAAGCCAGACTCCCTTGTCACAGGTGACCATAATTTGTTTGTCATTTATCCCAAACGAAGGAGTGAAATTCGAAGTTCTCATTGTCAGATAGTTACTTGTAATTCTATGGCATATAATACTGGTTATTAATTTGTATTCACTGAGAAATACTGTTTGGTCTAATGGAGTGGTGAAACTGTACAATTATGAATAACTGATGTGGACTTTTATACTGTTAAAATAAACTGTCAGTTAACACATTAGTTCTCGTGCATAGCCAGCAGTAAGGCCTTTCAGATAGGTGGTTCTTTTCTGTTTCCATGCAGTCATAATACCCCGTGAGGCCTTTGAGGCTTAAAATCCTTTTCCCTTTTCTGTGGCCTCTGCAGTGTGTCTGGCCTTCTTAGTATCAACACAGCACCAGAACTTTCTGCAAAGCCATTAGCCCAGCCTTCCCTTTTTCACAGGAGATGTGTTTGTACTTCGTTCCTGTCAGCTTTGTTTTTCTCAGCTGGCTAATTTTAAATGGAAGGAGGGTGCTCTGATTTTATGTCCTCGAACATAGAAAGATCCCTGCAGAATAACTTGAAGGTTAATCTTTCTCTTCCCACTAAAGTTTGCTTTCTTCCTTCTTTTTTTAGTACCAGGAATCGAACTCACGGCCTCATGCTTGCCAGGCAGTTGCTACACTGCTCAGTTACATCCCTGGTCTGCTTTTTTTTCTTTCTTATAAAACTAAGTTTTGCCTCCCAAGCACAAGGGCCCAACTTCGATCCCCGGTACCCCCCAAACATATATATATCAATAAAACTAAGTTTTAATAATGTAACCAATACATATATTCATTCATTATTTACACTTTATTTATTTTTGTGCCAGGGATCAGAGACAGGCAGCGGCACCACTAAGCTAATTCCTCATACACTTCTTTTAAAAAGATGAGAATTTTACTGAACGAGCTACAGACCCCTTCAACCCATCCTCCCTATCTTAGAATCATTCCTTCCTTTTCTCCACAATAGTTTCAGTACAACTCAGTGTGATTTATTTTTTTAATTTTAGAAAATACTTTTAAACATTTATGTGCCGATAGAAAATGTAATTATTTTTAAAACTCAGAAAAAAAAAAAAAAAAAAGACAAGACTCGCGTCAGCGGTGCATTCTGCACCTGTGGCTCTGCAGTGTACAGTTCTCATTCAACACTATATGTGTCTTAAATTTATCCACCTTGACACGGAGTAATCCATCTGGTACATTCACTGATCAAGCTACGCAGCACCCCTCTTGAGGAATAGTCCGTGTTTCAGTTAGCTGTTGCACTAATAGTGGATGTGGAGATTGTTTCTAAGGTTTTGCATTTACCGACAGGACTATGGCTCACGTATTCTTGTCCATCCTCACAGGCACCTGGGTATTACTAAGTACTGTATTGACTGTTAGTTTCACTACTTTGGCCTGCAAACGTTACATTTAGTCAGACAACTGCCTTGTGATTATTGTCTCTTCCTCACAGGGATGCTATTGAGAAGTTATTTCCTGATGCCATTAGAATGAGACTTGAAGACATAGAGCAGAATAACGACATAGTCCAGAGTCTCGCAGCCTTCCAAAAATATGGCAATGACCAGATTCCTTTAGCTCCCAACACAGGCCGAGTGAATCAGCCGAGAGGAGGGGGCTTCTTTTCTGGAGTGCTCACAGCTCTAACTGGCGTGGCCGTAAGTCTCTCCATTTCCCTGGGCCCTGCCCTCTCTTAACCGTCGAGTAGCTCACGGTGTCCACTGAAAGCTGCTGGGCCGTCTGATTTCTTCAGGACTGTTGCTTACTCAGGTGACTACGTAATTGTCGGTGCCCAGTGACTGTTAATCCTGTCCAGTCCTCTTCATGACTTGTGTGACAGGAAACCATTATGGTCCCCACTGTAGAGGGAAACAGGGCAGACGCGTGGTAGAGCTGGGCATTGAGAAGTGTGCCTTGATGGTACAACCCTGAGAGCATACTCCTGATTTTCAGTGCAGAAACTATTATGTTTTTAGTCCTGTGTTCTAAAAACCTCAATGCTTCGCTAGTAGAAAAGGTCAGTTGCGTTGACCAAGTTGATGGAGTCAAGGGTATAACCACAGCCAGGTGCCCTGGGATGAGTCCCCTTCTGGCCTCTGTTCCCTCAGTGCCCAGTGGAGAGCAGACAGAGGAGTGGGAGGAGCCTTGTGACCCTAGTCCCCATGGTGGCGGCACTGCCCTACTCCCGAGTGTGGACGCGGCCTCCTTCCCTTGCAGCTCGGCCCCACACGCTCTTGCTGAGAGTGGTGAGCTGACCTCGTGTCCTGTCCCCAGGTGGTCCTGCTCGTGTATCACTGGAGCAGCAGGGAGTCTGAGCACGACCTCCTGGTCCACAAGGCCGTGGCCCAATGGACGGCGGAAGAAGTGGTCCTCTGGCTGGAGCAGCTGGGCCCTTGGGCCTCCCTCTACAGGGACAGGTTTTCATCTGAGAGAGTGAATGGAAGGTGAGGACGAGGGTCTTCTGGCACGGTCCGGGCGCTTCTGTCTCCGGCGTTACTGAGACAGAAGTGCGTGCCACAGAATTCACCCATTTGAGTATACAGCTCATGGTCTGTAGTGTATTCACAGATGTATGGAACCATCCCCACAGGTGAGTTGAGGACACTTTCTGACCCCAGAGAGAAAGCTTTTAGCCATCGTTGGTCAGTCCCCCTTCCTGTCCTTTAACTGCTGGCAGGCACCATTCGACTTGGAGTTTGAAAAGATGGAGTAGCCTGTTGTACACTTCCATAGAAATAGAATCACACACTGTGGGCTTTTGTATGTTTTCTTTCAGTGAGCATAATGTTTTCGAGGGTCACCCACGATGTCGCATATATCAGTCCGTCATTCCTCTTCATCACTGAACAATATTCCATTATTTGGATAGACTATATTTTCTTTCTGTTTTGGGGGATACCAGAGATCAAACTCGGACCTTTCCCTTGCAAGGCAGGTGCGGCGCCACTGAGCTAGATCCCTGGCCCCAAGACTATATTTTTTTACTTGCTCTTCGGTTGATGGGCATTTAGGTTGATCTGGGTTTTGGCCATTAGGAATAATGCTGTTATGATCATCTGTGTACAAGATTTTGTGTGGACAGCTGGGTATGGGTTGGGATACACCTGTAATCCCAGCACTCCAGAAGCTGGGGCAGGAGGATCGCTGAAATTTCAAGGCCATCTTGAACTCCATAGTGAGACCCTGTCTCAAAAAACCAACAATAAAAAAGATTTTGTGCGGACATAAATTTTCAGTACTCTTCCTAGAGTGGAGTATCTGGGTTGTAGGATAACTGTTTCTCCTGCCTCCTAACGTACTGTAGTTTAATGTAATTTATATTATATATTCATGTAACTTTTTTCAAATAATTTTTGTTTTTTATTTTTATTAGTGCATATTAATATAACATGATGGTAGGGTTTATTCTGGGAAGTTAGTACATGTATTTAGCATAGCTTACTCAGTTTCAATCCTATTACCTCTCTCTTTCCTCTGTTTACTTTTTGGCCTCTGTGGCTTCCTGATTATAGATGTGCCTTTATTACCTTTTTTAAAAATAAGGTAAGACCACATGATATATTGAAAAGAAAATACCTTTGTAATCCTACTCCTCAGAAAAGTGCACTTCACCTCTCCACCCCCAGCTCCAGATTTTTAAAATGTTTATTCATTGAAATATATAAATGTGCATTATTTCTTTACTTAAACTGAAAAATGCAGTTGTGCTAAATAGACTTGTGTTTCTGAGTGTGCATATCTGTAGATGTGTGTGTACCCCTGTGTGCCATGGTTACACAGAGCACCAAGCACTGGAATCCACTGAACCCACTGATTTCAGACATGGAATCTGCTCACTGCCAGGCTGCCTAACTGCCCCCTTTCCAATCAGTATCTGCTGCCTGCTTCCCCAGCCATCTTTTTTTTTTTCTTTTAAAGAACTGAGATGCACCCAGGAAGCACTAAGCTACGTCCCCAGCCCTTCCCAGTTTGTAGCAAGGTCCTGCTAAGTTTCTCTGGCTGCCCTCAAACTGGAGATCTTTCTGCCTCAGCCTCCCGAGCAGCCAGAGTAGTACCCATGCATCACTGTGCCCAGCTTCCACTGAACTTTTCTGACACTTGACTTTTCCCGTGGAAAAGCAAAATGCTTCTATTTGAATTAGGTTTTCTTAAGAATTAGCTTCCCCAAAAACTCGTTAAAAATTGCTCTGTCTAGTTATCACAGTGTATCTTAGCGTAATTATTTCACTTGTAGAAGATAAAGACCTAGAACTGACATCACAGAGTCGAAAGCGATAAATCTGTGTGTCTTCAGTAAATGCTACTAAATACCACCAAGTTGTCTGCCGCAGGACCATCATATTTGCACTCCTCCACCCAGCGTTGCCGGTAGCTGCCGTTATCTCCTCTGCCTGCCCCTGTACGGCAATTTAGTTCCCCCGTACTGGGGAACAAACCAGAGCCCTGCACATGTGAGCCGATCGCTGTGCCACTGAGCCACACCGCTCCACCCACAGCAGCCCTGCGGGAAAGAACTTCGTGACAAGTCACCGCGGAAATGAGATCTTAATTTCTGATGAGGAAACTAGATGAGGGACCTATAATAATTTTTATTCAATTAAATCCCTACCCCAAATAATCCCTACCCCAGTGTGTTTTGTGTTTTTTTGTTTCGTTTTGTTTTGAGATGAAGTCTTGCCGTGTTGTCCAGGCTGACCTCCCAGGCCACCGAGGTCAAAGCTCGGTGCAGGAGGATATGCTCAGTTCGTGCCCCCTGCATTAAGGTTAGAGCCTGGAAAACAGCTCCTGAGCCTGGGGACCACAGCACAGTATGAGGAGAGCGGGCCCAGCACCCCTGGAAGAATGGGGCTGGCCGGAGAGGAAGGGGGTGTCGTTACTTACAGCCCGCTGCCTTAGCCTCCCAAATGCACTCCCAGCTAAAACAGCCACTCTTCGTGTCATGATACGTTACCGGATTTCCTTCTAAATTTTGTTCCTGTGCATGCATGAACCAGAATAATACATTCCCAGATTCAGTCTATAACTGAATGGTCAAAGGCTTAGGAACAAAACGACCCTGGTATGCTGTGGGCAAGTCTCTTTATTTCCCTAACCCTACAGAAAGGGCACATCGCCACTCACCCTACAGAATTGTTAAAATGGCCAGCCGTGATTTATGAAAATCTCTTCACCTACTAGTAGTTGGCAAGTAGTAAGCATTCAGCTATTTGCTGTTACTGCTGCTTCATGTTTGTCTCACTTTACCTCAAGCGTAAAATACTTGCATTGATAAGGTGGATCTCAGTGTGGAAAATTCTCTCCCACCCCACCACAGATTGCTTTTAACCCTGACAGAGGAAGAATTTTCAGGAGCACCGTATACCATAGAAAACAGCAGCCACAGAAGAGCCATCCTCGCAGAGCTGGAGCGCGTCAAAGCACTAGGCGTGAAGCCTCCCCAAAATCTCTGGGAATATAAGGTAAACTCCTGACTTCTTTGGTACTGGGGATCGAACTCGTGGGACCTTGCGCTTGTAAGGCAGCAGGAGAACCACTGAGCTAAATGCCTGGCCCCCCTGACTTTTTAAAATCATCTCCTCACCTACTTTGTAACTTAAGAAAAGCTGCCAGTCCGAGGTCCACTTCCTCTCTGGCCAGCCCCGTTCTTGCAGGGGTGCTGTGGTCCTCAAGGAGTGCTGTTTTCCAGGTTCTAACCTTAATGCAGGAGGCACGAACTAAGTGCATCCTTCTGCACCGAGCTTTGATCTCGGTGGCTCCAGCTTGCCGTTTTCTGTCTTGTGCTATGTTCACCCGGATGCAAACGCAACAGCTCCTGCATTTCCTGTTGATGCATCCTGAGTGGGTTTCTGCTTTTGCTATTAGGAGCAGCACGTTCCTGGGTATGGACATTTCCTGCTCTGGACATTCTTGGGAAACTCTTGGACTGATGTACAAGAGTGTCTTTATGGTGTGCACTGAGGAGTGGAATTACTAGGTGATAAGTAACACACACCTTCAGAGTTACTAGGTTCTGGTAAATTGATCCTTACTGTAACTGAGCTGATTGATTCTCCTTCACAGATAGGACTTAATGAATACTGTAAAACAAATGCTGTTTTTTTATTAGTTATAAAATACCTGGAATATATAGACTTAAATTTTTAAAAAGACAGCATGGAGAAAAATGAGATAATTAATAAACCTATGGGAAGAAATGCCCTTCATAGTTAAAGAAGGGCAAATGAAACAGATACTTTTTTTTCACTTACAGTGTTGTCAGATTTGACATTTAATATGAAGAAAGAGGCACTTGTGTGTGTTGAGGATCATAAACTGGTGCGGTCTGTTTGGAGGGCAGGTGGTCATAACATTTTAATTTAAACTGCATCCTCCCTCAACCTGGTGTTTGGAGTGGAAGCAGCACAGCTCAGCGATCAAGAGCAAGGCAGTAGCCCCGCGTAGGAATGTGTGCCTGAAGTCCCAGCACTCAGGAGGCGGAGGCAAGAGGATCACAGGTCTCAACAGAAAAGAACAGAGAGGCTCTGGGGTCACCTGCTGGGCTCCTTGCCCACTCCTTCAGGACATACTTGCCTGTGGATCCTCCTGCCTCAGCCTCTCAGAGAACTGGGATCCTTCTTAACAGTAAGCAGGGCAAATGGGAACTTGAGCCTGGTCCTGCTGTCAAACCAAGATGATCTCCTCCGTGGTCAGCTCCTTTGCCTCTTCCTTGCTGCGAGCCCCTACTTGAGCCTGTACATTTGACAACTAAAAGATTCTCCACCCCTGGTGTCCCGGTGCAGCTTCATCAGAACGCCTGAAAAGGATCATTGGGTCTTCAGTGCTATCCTCATAGTCACTTCACCACGTGGCGGTTTTTCCTCTCGATCTGATGAGATGTAAACAAGAGTTGGATTGTTTGTCCAGCACCCACGCTCACGCCAGAGCTGCAAACACGAGACAGGACATCTCCCTCTCTCTTGTCCTTCTCTGCTCTGGCTGCAGCCAGCAGGCTTTACTTCTGGGCCTGCATCCCTGGAGATCATGTGTCCTCAACAGGCGCAGTATTTCCCCAGGGGAGTACAGAAGTGGGTTCTTGGGGAATAAAGTCTTAGCGAGAATAGTGACTTTTGTCATCTTCCAAAAAGATCATGGCCCGTGAACAGATGCATAGTATATCTGCGGTGTTGCCATTTCATGGGGCCGGGCGTGGTGGCGCATGCCTGTAATCCCACTACTGGAAAGGCTGACGCAGAAGGGTCACCACGAGTTCGAGGCTACGTAACGAGACCCTCAAAACAAAAAACCAAGATACATTTTGCGGGTGTGGGGCTGAGAAGAAATATCTGTGGTGCGAGAGGTGTAGGTCAGTGGGTGAGCATTTGCACAGTTCCCCAGTACCGCAGTTATCACCATGATCACCCTGACCATCATCCTGTTAGAGAGTCATTTTGATGTGGCCTCGTTGGCCATGGTGGTTTCCTCTCATGTGCCAAGATGCTCACATTGTCCTCATGTTTGTTTTCTGCTCCAGGCCTAGAATCTGCCATTTTCTAAATGGATTTTTAAAAATCTTTCACTAGAGAAAATTTCAGATGTATACAAAAATGGAGGGAAGAATGTATGAGTCTAAGGATATCCACGTATATTATTTTATCCCTACATACGTTCGTATGACTTTGTAAAGAGAATCTTTTAAAAATGTTATCATCAGCCGGGCGTGGTGACACACGCCTGTAATCGCAGCACTCGGGAGACTGAGGCAGGAGGATCTCTGTGAGTTTGAGACCAGCCTGGGCTACATAGTGAGTTCCAGGGCAGTCTCAAAAACCAAAAAAAAAAAAGTAATCATTACTTAAAAATGTAATAGGAAGAAAAGGGCTAAAGGTATAGGGAAAGTGGGATGGGTAGGGGAAAGGTAATAAGGGGAAAAAATAGGAGAAAAAATGGAAATAAAATGTTTGTAAATGGGGAGGGAAGGAAGGGGTGAAGGGAGGGCAGGGACAAGGGCTAAAAATGAGAACCAAGACCTGTCATGTAAAGGTACAAGATCCCAATAGTGAATGTAACTGTACTGTGTACCTAAAATGTACCAGTAAACTCAATGAGGAAAAAAAAAAATTTAATAGGAAACCACAAGTGGCATCAAATAAGCTGAACAAATTTAAAACTTCAGTGAAACGGAATTAACACACACATACTTAATGTGTATACACTTTAAATTTGACATGTTGACCTGAGTGCACACCTGTGAAACCATCACCAGGCGAGATGGGGGAGCACATCCATCTCGACGCCCAAAATGTCCTCCTCTCCTTTGTACCCCGCCCTCCCTCCTCCCATTCTCCTAGGTGTGCAGCGATTTCTTTCCCCCACAACCCCACGGTGCTAGGGATCAGACCCAAGGTCATTCATGCCAGGCAAGAGTCGTTCCACTGAATTCTACCCCAGCCCCCCAGTATCATGTCGGAGTGCATTCTCTAAAGACCAGTGATAGAAAGCCTCTGCTGATCTTCCTTGCCGTCCTTAAATCGTCTTCTGCAAAGTGCCCAGTTTGTTGGATTCTTTTCATTATAAAAAGATCCAGTCTCTCTATCCACAGATGGGATCATCAGAACACAACATTTCGGGAATGTGCTTCTGAAAAAACACTAGTCTTTAAAATGTTCAAAGCCAGATGTGGTCGCTCACACCTGTAATCCCAGGTACTGGGGAACTGCAGAGAGGGCCTCTCACATACTGCACAAACGCTCTACCACTATCACCGCAAGATTTTTCCTCAGAGCCCCACACCCCATGAAATGTCTTTTTTTTTTTTTGTTACCAGGGATCGAAATCGGGTCCTTGCATTTGCAAAGGAGGTGCCAGAACCACTGAGCTAAATCCCCAGCCCCTGTTTTTTTTTTTGAGGGTCTTGTTATATAGCCCAGTCTTGCCTCGAACTCGTGGTGATCCCTCTGCCTCAGCCTCCCCAATGGTGGGATTACAGGGGTGCACTACCACCCTTGGCCCAATGAAATGTTAATGCCGCAGATACACTGTTCATGGGCTGTGATCTTTTTATAATGTACCCTGACAGATGAATTACTTGGCCTCTTGTTGCCATTCACTCATTTTTTGTTCACATCACACATCAGCAGAAAAGCTGATGGCAAAAACTTGAGACCGTAGACAGCACGTGGATGGGGGGCTGGCTGCCGTGGTTGTAATGGGGCCCTCTGGCTGCTTGTCCCCTGCAGGCCGTGAACCCAGGCAGGTCCCTGTTCCTGCTCTACGCCCTCAAGAGCTCGCCAAGACTCAGTCTGCTGTACCTGTACCTGTTTGACTACACAGACACCTTCCTGCCCTTCATCCACACTATCTGCCCGCTGCAGGAGGACAGGGAGGACATCATCACCAAGCTTCTGGTAGGTCTGCGGAGGGCCTGGTGTGGAGTGATGGTGCCTCACTCAGTGTGGGATCGGAGACGCCGCTGAGGCCCCTGTGGAAGTGCGGGCAGCGGCCAGGCTTCCTGTTAATTCTGCAGGGAGATCCCCTCCCCACAAAAGAAAAATGAAGTCGGACCCTTCCTAGAAGCTCATTTTGTTTTCTGCATTGCATAGCAAGAGGAGCGATCCTCTGGACTTGAAATATTAAAAAGAAAAGCATAAAACACTGCCTTCATTATGAAGGAAGAGCACAGGTCCAGACCACAGGAAGGAATGAGATGCATCAGCCTTCCGTCTGTCTCGTGTCTCTTAGTAGAACCTCCACAGTGCGGGTAAAGAGCAGAGTGTGCATCTGTCCTGGATGCCTTAGAACAACTGGCCCGCTGGTAGGGGTCATCACGGGGCTCTTCACAGGCGTGGCTGCCCCCCACGTCCCCCGCAAGCACTTGTTTCTTGACTTTACTTGAGGACTCCTTCAGAATCACTAGTGGACTGACTTCTCTGTACCTGGTCGGTCGTTTGAGGGTAGTGTCCTTTTCTTTGCTACTCTTGGGCTGATCCTTTGATCTGTTTATATCAGAAGTGTCGGGCTGGGAATTTAACTCAGTGGTTCTGCCGCCTGCCTTGAAAGCGCAAGGTCCCGAATTTGATCCGCGGTACCAAAAAAAAAAAATGTCGTGGACATAGGAATAATCATGTAGAGTCCACACCAGTAAGCACTGAAAAAGAATTTCTGACTCTCCAGAGGTTCTTCTTAAACACTATTTGGGAGACCTTGAATGTGGGTTAGAGCTGCTGATTAGCCCTTTTGCGCAGTTACTGAGTACCCAATTTCCAGTTGTTACTTGCCCCAGACTCAGCACAGAAATTGTAAAATGTTTCTGTCCTAACAAGCCCCAGTAACCCCCTCATCTGCTAATATCTGTACCCCCCAGATTATTCTTTTAAGGTGTGTATATATGTAAATATTTTTAATTTCACTACCGTTTATTGTCATTCTACCACCGCTAAGACGTTGAATTTAGAAAGTGATTTGAGCTCCTCAGGCAGGTACAGGGGAATAAAACAATGGTTCATGTAACTGCATTTCAACCCTGTTACTCATAGCTCATTTGGATTTTTACTTCTCAACTCCCACGATTATATAACATGGACTTTTTGACAACATTCATCTAATTTCAGATTCATTCTTACAGGAGAAGGTGGATGAAAACTCCCGGGTCGTGTTAGATATTTCTAACAAAAGGAAAGCTTACTGCTCTCAATGTTTTGGTTGAAAGTCAATCCTTGGGGTGTTTGCACCCATGTGTGTTGTCTTCCCAGGATCTGAGGGAGCCCACCTGGCCACAGTGGAGAGAGTTCCTTGTCAAATACTCCTTCCTGCCATACCAGCTGATTGCCGAATTTGCCTGGGACTGGCTGGAGGTCCATTACTGGACGTCACGGTTCCTCATCGTCAATGCCATGTTACTCTCGGTTCTTGAATTATTCTCTTTTTGGAGGATCTGGTCCAGAAGTGAGCTGAAGTAAGTGTGTTTTTATGTAAGAGAGATTTGGAGCAGTGAGGACTGGGAAGGAAACACCAAGGAGGGATTTCCTTTCTGAGACACGGTTTCACTGTGTAGTTCAGGCTGGCCTGGAACTCACTGTGTAGCCTAGGCTAACCTTGAACTCACAGTGATCCTCCTACCTCAGCCTCCCAAGTGCTGGGATAAGAGGGGTGAGCCACTATGCCCAGCAGTATTTCTTAAAATTGAAAGGGAAAAAATATCCTCCTTCGACCAAGACTTCTCAGACTCTGGTTTGAGAAATATTTCTTAAGCATCAATAGAAAAGTTAATGTGTGTTTAAGGGTGGCGGTTGTGTTCTTTGTTACAGTGTTTCCCTGTATGTCACGTTCCTACCTAATAATGAACCGTGGAATTTCAGTGTGGTGTACGTATGTGAAGAGCTTTCATAATTGGGGAGTAAGTAAGAGAGACGAGGTCCTAGACGGGAGACAGCAGTGCTTTGAGCGCCAGGAGCTCTCATGGGGACTTCTGTGGCCATGCTGGCAAATGCTGTTCTGCCACCAACTGGAAGAACAGTAACTTCTCTAGATTAATGACCGAAACGAGAGCACTGTTCTAGACAGCCTCACAGTCACAGGCTCTCGGATGCCGTGACGGAAACCCACCTAAACTGGCTTCCCTGGAAAGGGACAGCGGTGTGGCCGGAAGAGAGCCGGGGCGGTCCTCGGGACCAGCTCTCCCAGTCGCAGCCTTGCTGCTTCCTGTATCAGTCTCTCTCGCAGCTCCGCCTCCGGGAGCTTGGGCTGCTCCTGACTTCGGTCTGAGCATCTTAGCAATCCTGTTGAGAAGGAAGCACCTCTAGGCTGGGCATGGTAGCACTGTAATTCCAGCACTCTGGGAGGCTGAAGCAGGAAGACCACCAGGAGTTCAAGGCGAGCCTCAACTACATAGGCGAGACCCTGTCTCGGTCATAAATAAATACTAAAAAGTAAAGAAAAAAAGCAATACATCTTTTCTCATACCACTTGTAACAGGGCTCGGCTCAGGCACCTTTGCTCTGGTTTGGCCAGCTTGGGTCACGTGCCCAGCCGAGCCCATCAGGGCTGTGTAGAGGACTCTCCAGCCTCAAGGCAGGCACCTACCTCACCACTGGGGGCTGCTTTCAGTCCCACCCAGAGAAAAGGTGAGGGAGAGACTAAGGATGTAATTCAGTGTAAGAGTGGCTGCTCAGCATGCTGAAAGCCCTAGGCTCAGTCCCCAGCACCCTGAACCATCAAGAAAAGAATGGGGTAACCAGGCATGGTGGCACTTGCCTGTAATCCTAGCTCTGGGAGGCTGAGGCAGGAGGATCATAATTTTGAGCTCAGTGTGGGCAACTTAGTGACTTAGCAAGATTCTGTCTTTAAAAGAAAAAGAAAAGGAAAAGGAATAGGGGAGGAGACGTCTCCAAAGCAAAACTCAGAAGTTGTTTCCAGAGGAGGAGGACTTCAGGGCAGGCAGAAGGAAACTATCTGCCACATCCTTTCATGTCAATAACTGATGACTTGTGGGATTCTTGGCCTTGGCTGTCAACAGCAGCCTTACAGTTCTGAGACGCTGACAAGAATCTCCCTCGTGTATTTGACTCAGCAAGCTCACTTATTCTCACAGAGAATGTGGATATGCATGCCCTGTCTGTACCCAGCAGAGAAAAACTGTGTTGTACAAACTAAATAAAAGTGTGACAGCAATGAGCAGGTAAGATTGAGGGCCAGGCATCTGCCCTGAGAAGCACCCCCTGGGCTGCATCCTGACACTGGAGACACATTGGTCTGCGGCCCAGGCAGGCTGCCCTGTGAGGCAGGCAAGGCCCAGGCCTGAGCCCCGAGGAGTCTGAACCACTTTTCTTCTCTTTGCAGGACAGTGCCTCAGAGGATGTGGAGCCATTTTTGGAAAGTGTCAACACAGGGGCTTTTTGTGGCCATGTTCTGGCCCCTCATTCCTCAGTTTGTTTGCAACTGTTTGTTTTATTGGGCCCTGTATTTCAACCCAATTATTAACATCGATCTCGTCGTCAAGGAAGTTCGACGGCTGGAAACCCAAGTGTTGTGACTGGTGAAGCCCCAGCTCCAAGAGACTCCTCAGTCAGTGGAGTGAGGGAGCGGACTTCCTGTTTTCTACCCCTGTGAAACAAGGTGCTGCTTTGTATGTCAAAGGCTTCAACCAGGCCCTCTCTCTTGCTGTGGCCCCGTGGTGGCAGAGACTGATAATCAGCACAAGGAGGGATCTCTGTTCTGCCCGCAGCAGAAGCACCTCCCACCAGCCACATCTCCACAAGGACACAGGAGCGCAGGACAATGGCTGACAGGACTCAGGCTCCTCAGAGGACATCACGCCATATAGGTGACGCCCAGAGGCCATCCCATCAGCAGGCCCCTTCGCCCTAACCTCAGTGACTGAGAGGCTTGCTGGGGCGGGGGCCCATCCTTTAAGTCAAGTTTAGGAAAACGGGTTGAAATTTTGTCATAGGCCTAGATTGTTACCCATAAAAAGCGCAGAGGAAAAACCCAGAATTCAATCACCAGTTCTCTCCTGTTGAGTAGCTGTTAGGCTTTGGAGTGAACCTCAGAAAGGAGTCAGTTTGAGGTGAGCATGATGGTGGGCTTGTCCTCACTGTTCGCTCTTCTGCAGTCATTGAAGTTTGGATCCCTCTTTCCAAGCAGAGGGATTGAGTGTGATGTCAGGCACTTCATAGAGCGTTATTCCCATTAGGCTGAGCTGCACTGGGCTACTTAAAAGCATTGTTTTGCTTTTAAGAGTTTTAATTTGTAAAGTAAGACTGGGTTAGTTTCTGTTTAAGGAAGCATTTTCCAGATTGACCGCACACTGTATAATGTGTAACCTTTATCGTTCTGTCCTGATGTATAAACACAGGTATAATTACACCCAGGGCTATCACTGTAAATAGGAGCAGGATGAAGGATGGCCTTTCATTCCCATCCAGTGTGAAAATCTAAGTATGCAGTGTGATCTCAGCAAGATTGTCGTCACTAAAATAAGTCTGCATCCAAAGTGTGTTCGTGACTCCACAAACCATTCACTGACCCTTTGTATCTGCGTGAAGATTTCACTCACACTTTGCCTCTGAAAGTATGAAGAAATTACTTGAAATAAAGATTTTTATACAGATGAAACTCCTGTAGAGGGAAAAACTGTTTACAAAAACACAAAGATCGGAATCTTATATCAACTAGTCAGACCTTGGCTTTCAGCTCCTTGTGGCCATGGAGCCAGCGGGCAGCCCTGAGGCCTCTTTAGTGAAAAGGGAGGATTCTGCTTTCTCTTCATTTACCAGGCCCCAGGGATGCCTCACTTTACGCGTTTGACACTGGTGACCACGACCACCAGAGCTCCTGGGTACAGAGACACTGGTGCCCCGGTGCCTGGTCCCAGTCCTGTGGTGTTACCAGAGTTCTCTCACGGTGGAGCGGGGGCTGGCTGCATGCATGCACGCACCTGGGCCAGGGGCAGGTGGCAGGCGGTTAGACTCCCCTCCTACACCCACACCCAGCTTCAAAAATGAGCAGATTACATGCATGTCAGAAAGGAGGGCAAAGGAGACTTGGCTACAGCTAGAGCAAACAGGTGTGGTGCTCATTCCTTACTGCCAGGACTGGCCTCCTCAGATCGAGGGAGGACAGTGCCTCTCAGCTCCCTCATGCTCCTACAGGTAAAGGTGGCTCAAGGGCGTCCACAGCATGTCCATGCCAAGCACGCAGACCCTGTGATGGAAAATGCCATTTCTCTAAATTCAGGCCAGGAAACAAGGTGTGCGTATGTATGTGGGGGATTTATTTATAAGCATCCTTATAACAACTGATAAAAACAGGAATGAACAAAAGTTGGTGAGGGCTGGGGACGTAGCTCAGTGGTGCTACCACCTGCCTTGCAAGTGCAAGGTCCTGAGTTCGATCCCCCCCTGCCCTGCCCCGAACCTGAAAAAAGTTGGTGCTCTATAAAATGTCAGTGAAAGCCAGGTGTGCTAGTACATTCCTGTAATTCCAGGTCTCTGCGAGCAAGCTGAGACAATGATTTGGGAGTTCAAGGCCAGCCTGGGCGCCACAGCAAAATCCTGTCAAAAAAAAAAAAAAAAAAAAAAGAAAAGGGGGCCAGGGGATTGAGCTCAGTGGTGCCTCGCCTGTCTCACAAGTGTGAGGTCCTGAATTTGATACCCAGTAATGAAAAAAAAAGCTAAAATAATGGTATGGAATACAGCTTTTCTTTCTTTTTTTCCTGAATACAGCTTTTTAAGAGAACGAACGTGTCTAAGGGCTGTGGGTATAGCCTGACATGTGAGAGGCCCTGGGCAGAATCCCCGGGACCACAAAAGAAAACAGAAAAGGAAAGGACCTATTATGAAAATCATATGGCATCACCTCCACAACTACTCCACTGCATTTAAAAAAATTTAGCGAAGACTCATGGCAGCACACTGTGGTGCCTGTAGTAATTATTTTGGATCGTGGGAACTTTGGGTGTTTTTCTGCTTTTTATTATTGTGTATTTTTCTCCCCACCCCTCCACCCTCTCTCCCAGGAAACTGATGTTTTTTCTTTTTAAGATGGAGTCTTGCTATGTTGCCAAGGCTGGCCTCCACCTTCTGCCTCTGGGTCCCCAGTAGCGGGGACTACAGCTGTATGCCTCCCAACCAGCTACTTCTCTGAGACAGGGACTCGGGCTGGCCTTGAATTCATTATGTAGCCCAGGCAGGCCTCAAACTCAAGCGATCCTCCTGCCTCAGCCGCAGTGCAAGGATTACAGGCGTGTACCCCGCTAAGAATACTCTAGTAAACTGACACATACTAGACTTGAATTTTACAACAGTGGGTGCCTTGTGGCTGTCTTGTTCATTGCCACAATCCAGGATCTATAACATGGCCAAGCACAGAGTGGAATTTGTTCACATTTGACCAGTAGCCATCAGGAGCAGGTGAGAAGACAAAGCCTACCTTTTCATAATGGTTGGATCTCAAAAATGATCCCACATCCAGGGAAGTGTTCAGGCCTGAGAGCCAGGTATGGTTGTGGTGCATACCTATAACCCAGCATTGGGGAGGCTGAGGCAGGAGGAACATTTGAGTCCAAAGACCAGCCTGGGCTACACAGAGTTCAAGGTCAACCTGAATGATACAATAAAACCCTGTCTCAAAATTTGAGGTGTACATGCCAATAATCCCAGCACTGTGAGAAACAGGCAGGAAGATCGTAACGTCCAGCTCAGCCTTCGTGACTTAAAAAGATCCTGTCTCAAAATAAAAAGGAGATGGGGACACACAGTTCAAAGGCCCCAGGTTTGATCACCAGTACCTCAAACCAAAATACTAAAGTAAAATAGGTGTGGGACTTTTTGAGACCAGAGATGGTTTTCTTCTGTTGTTTTGAGACTCACTATGCAGTTGAGGCTGGCCTCGAATTCATAGTGATCCTCTTGCCTCAGCCTCTTCAGTGCCAGGATTACGGGCTTGAGCCCAGAGAGAGCCTGGGAGACATCCTAGCCTTAGACAGCACACCTTCTGCCCTTGGAAACCGTAAGAGGATCCTGCTCTCGCCATACTTCCTCCACATCCGGACGTGAGCCTGAGCGATCGAACCCACCCTGCCCGCATCTCCTTAGTATCCTGACGAGAGCCTCACACGTGTGGCCCTGTCCTCATTCCTTGGGCTCTGTCATGAGCCCGAGGAGCATGCGCAGTCACTGCTTCATGGCACGGGACAGGAACCCTGCGGTCACTGTACCCTCATTAGCCCCACAGGGTCGACGCCCCTGGTGGGCTTTGGCAGCCATGCCGGTTCTGACAGCAGAGAGGAGACTCACAGCTGGCTGGAAAGAAGCCCAGTTAGTCGACACCCTTGACCACTCCCCAAGGTCTATGAAAAGAAGCCAACCCCGGAACTCGCTGGCCCTGCCCACCCTCCATTCTTGAGGGTGGACTTTCACTGCCGACGGTGCCACCTCTGGGTGCCACCTGCTCGGCACTTTCCCAAGTGTACTTTAACCTCAAGCCCAAAACACAGAGTCAAACTCATTTTTGAGCTTTCTCATCAGCTCCTCTGGAGTGCACTTTCCTTCAGTAAATCTCTACCAATCTTGATGCCTCTGTGTGTCCTGTTCGGTTTTTTGTTCAGGACACTAAGAATCAGGTATCAGGTGAGACTGACACCAACTGTCCGCCACACTTCGCCCGTCATCGAATTGGAAGCCAGAGAGGATGGGTCCTGGATTCTGGGATGGAGAGAGAAAGCAAACTGGCCTTGTGGTCTGTGTTTCCTCCCACAGAAAACAATGCTGTTGTTGATCAGTGAAAAAGAGGTTTATTTCTCGGAGCAAACGAACATTTCATGTCATCAGGTCTGTTGCTCACAACGGGGAGAATCCTGCCCACACAGTAAGTGAGGGTAGAATAAATACTTCAAGTTGTACTCAGCCTCAGAGAGGCAGTAAGCAATGTTCTTGTCACACTCACACATGAGTTCTTGGCATTTGTCCTCTGCAGGTCCTGGAAGGAGTAGGGAAACTGAGGTTAAGCAGGGACCTGCAGAAACTCCAGAGTAAATGTCAGGGGAGCCAGTCCAGTAAAGCTGGCAGCAGGATGGGTCCTGAGTTGTACTTGGATTACAGTTTACAATCGCCACGTCTCTCCGCTGACACGAGCACTCCTGTCAGCTCTTAAGGAAAAGGAACTTTGAAGACCCAGAGTCAAGCAAACCACCTTTTGGTTTCTCTTCTGCGTCAGTTTGGTTTTATTTGAGGGATCCATGTAAATGAAGACGGTAGGCACCCGGCAACCATCTGGGTTTGTGAAGCCTGCTCTGTCCTCGCCTAACCTTTCTGAGGCTGAGTCCTCCCGTAAAAGGGGGACACCTCTGGGATGGGACTCAAACACAGTGTTTGCCTGGCATTCTCCAGGCCCTGGGTTCAATGCCCAGCACCGGGAAACAAAGTTAAAAATAAAATGGAAGGAGGGTTACTGGGAGCCAGGATGGCAAAGGCTATGAAAGTGCCAGCTGGGGCTTGGCACGGGACGCGCACTCCACGTGACTGCCTCCCACCTGGGTTTCTCAGCTCCTCCAGGTGCTCCTCGGAGAAGAGCAGCTAAGCAAGGAAATGCCACCACTGTGGAAAGCCTCGTTTGTGTGGCTTAGAAAGATTCTGTAGTCTTTCACTCGGCAGGCTCAGCAGCACCAGAGACGCCGTGCTGGGTGGGGGACTTGGGACACTCGGGACACTCGGAACATCCCCCAAACCCTGTTGTGAGCTGAGCTAATTAATGGAGTTAATATGCATGGCTATCCATGGGGCTCCCGAGACTTGGTTAGGGCCAAGGCAGCTTCAAGATTACTAAAATCCCTCTCATTCATTCATTCATTTGCAGTGCTGTGGGTTTAGCCCAGAGCCTCACATCTGGTAGTCTGTGTTCTATCACTCAGCTACAGTCCCTCTCACTTTTTAATAATAAGTTTATTATTATTATTATTTGTTTTTTGAGACAGGGTCTCACTATGTCCTTGAGACTGACCTGGAACTCACTATGTGGCCCAGGCTGGTCTCGAACTCAGTGATCCTCCTGCCTCAGCCTCCCAAGTACTGGGATTACAGGCATGCGCCACCATGCCTGGCAATAAGTTTATTATTAAATTACACTAAAGTCTAACCCTGCCATAACTGGAAAACCAAAATCTTATATCAGAATATAAGAAACTGATAAAAAAAAAAATATGCCAAGCAGCCAGGTAAGGTAGCTCACACCTGTAATCCCAGCACTCTGGGGAGGCTGAGGCAGGAAGATCACAAGTTAAAGTCCAATTCGGGCATCTTATTGACTTGGCAAGACCTTGTATCAAATAAAAAGATAAAAGCCAGAGATGTAGCTCAGGCCCTGGATTCAAGCCCTAGCAGCCCCCCCCCTGATGTAAAGAACTTCAACAACAAAAACCAGAGCCAGGCATGATGATGCACCCCTGTCATCCTGGCACTTGGAGGTGGAAGCGGAGGCAGGAGAGTCACTGTGAGTTTGAGGTCAGCCTGAGCTACACTGAGTTAGTTCACAGCCAGCCTGAACCACCTAACAAGTCCTTTTCTCCCAAAACAGCGATGAAGACCAGCGAAGATAAAAGTCTACAGAACGAAAGGCTAATGAGATGCTGGACGCCTCCGTAGGTCATGAGCCCCCAAGTTAGAGGGTCTTGATTAAAAGACAAGGGAAAGAGACAGATGCGCAAGCCTGAGAGAAAGTCACAGTTAAAGAGCTTCCTCTTGCCTAGTTGGAAAACTAACACAAGGTGGAAAGACGGCATCTCACTTCAGTTAAGCTTCCCACACTCATCAGGGTGAAGCTGATCCATGGGCCTGTAGCCGGCCCAGAAACTTGAGGCACCAGCCTGGGCAATTTAGTGACTTAGCAAGACCTTGTCTCAAAAATAATTTTTGTTTTTTGGTGCCAGGGATCGAACTTGGGACCTTGTGCTTGCCAGGCAGCCCAAGATGCTGGATGATAGAACCGCTGGGCTAAATCCCCGGCCCTCAAAAATAATTTTTTAAAAATTATAAAGGGTTGGGGATGTCGCTTGGTGTAAAGACCTTGGGTTCCATCTCCAGTACTGCAAAAAAATATATTGAAAAGGAGCTGGGAAGGGTGGGGCACGCCTATGATTCCAGCACCAGCACTCAGGAGGCTGAAGTGGGAGGGTCATGAGTTTGAGGCCAGCCTGGGCCACACCGTGATTCTGCATCTCAGGAACAAGTACAACAACAACAACAACAACAACAACAACAAATAATTCCTACCCCTGCTTTTGGGGGTGGGTACCGGGGATCGAACTCAGGTCTTTGCGCTTGCAAGGCAGTCACCAGAACCACTGAGCTAAATCCCCAGCCACCTCACCTTTTTTTTTTTAATTAAAAATCCCTAAAATACAAAATTTACCATTTTGTCAGTGCCATTTAGTACATTCATAGCACCATGCATTTGTCTACTTCCAAAACATTTCTATCAACTCAAAAGAAACCTTGAACTCAGAAAGCACTTGCTCCTCGCTCCCCTTGTCTGAGTCTATAGGGACCTGCTGATTCTGGGTGTCTAATATCGGTGAAGTCATAGGAGCTCTTGGCCCTGGTTTTTTCACACTCCATTCATCCGTGTGACACAGGGATATTTCATCTGCTTATTGACATAGTACTTGCAAAGCACTTGGCACATGTGCTACTCCCTGTCCGCCCCCCTGCCTCTTTTTGCTGCAGTGCCGAGTGGAATCCAGGGCCTCACACATACCAGGGAAATGCTCTACCCGCTGAACAGAAGCCCAGCCAACTTCCTTCCTTCTGTTAGGCTCCAGGACCCTGCTGCTCTGTCTTACTCAAATCCTAGCACACAACCTGGAACAGGGTAGATTCTCAGTGACAGTGGTTGAGAGAATATACACACACCATGCTTTATTTCCGATACTCACTCAAAAACCCAAGTGTATTTTATTATTCCCATTTTACAGATGAGAAAAGCGAGGTTCAGAGGGATCCAGCTCCTTGGCCAAGTTCACTGAGCTGGACCAAAACTCCAGCCCAGGATCTCTTGACCCAATCCTGTTTCTCCTATCTCCTTAAGCAAGAAAGATTCTTTCTAAAGCATGCCTTGGGCCCCCTGATCCATACTCTTGGGAATTCAAAGGAACCATGTTGTTCAAGAAAAATAAAAATGTAAAAGGAAAAACAGCTCCAGTGGGTTAAGTTTAAAATTAAAGCCTGCTAGTAAATATTATTATAGGCTTAAAATTTTTTCATATATTTGTCAGGCCCATAAATGGAAAATGGGCCAAACCTATAATTAAATAAACAGCTATGTTCAGAATATCTCCAAACAGAATAAAAACATATTCTCAGCACCCCCAAAATGTGTAATAGATACTTAGGTTCATTGCATTTGCTTCAAGGAAGACAGTTTTGTAAACAGGTGCTGACTTCACCCGCAAACCCACCAGTAAATATTTCATAAACTCCAATCTCCCATGGGACGAGCAAACAGAAGCCATCAATTGAAGAGGAAGGGAAAGATATTCAGCAGAGCTCTCCACCCAGCCTCCTTCCACTCCCTCTTTGCTGGGCCAGTTTAGGGGCAAGTAGCTCTCTCCGTGGGCCTCAGTTTCCCTGGCTCTAAATGAGCGGGTTGGAGAAGACGATGCTGAGGGCGTGTGTAGCCCTGAAATCTGACATTGTGTCTCTCTCAACTCAGCTTTGTCCTTCTGCCAGCTCCCCATGCTGAACCCACCCTTGCTTTCCAGACTCCAGGGTGGATCCAGTCTCCAGAAGCTGTGGTTTTGTGGACACTCACACAGAAAGAAGGCAGAAGGGTATGAAAGGGAGAGAACACCCTCCTCCACTCTGCTTATCACATTACAAACCCTCTTCTCTTTGCAACCCTCAACTTCCAGTTAAACTGAGGCAGACTGTCATCAGCTCCAACTGATGGACCCTCATCCATCCAAGGCCTAATGATTTTTAACAAATGTGCCAGTACTATTCAAAGGAGAAAGAACAGAATCTTCAGCAAATGGTTCTGGGACAACTGTCCAGCCACGTGCCAAAGAAGGAAGTTGGACCCCTTCAGTTCATTTCATATATACAAATTAGATCAAAATGGGTTAGTAATCTGGGTGGGGTGCTACATGCCTGTAGTCCCAGCACTGCAGGAGGCTGAAGCAGGAAGGTTGCAAGTTCAAGTCCACCCCGGACAATTTGTATAAAAGAATTAGGAGAAAACATAGAAGCAAATCTTGGATTTGGCAATGGATTCCTAGGTAAAAAATGAAAAACAAGAGCAATGGCAGATGAAATAGGTAAATTCAATTTTGTTTTGGTGCTGGGAAGTGAACCCGGGACCTTGTGCTTGTGAGGTAGGTGGCAGGACCACTGAGCTAAATTGCCAGCAGTAAATTCAATTTTTAAAAAATTATACTTGTGTGTATCCAGGGCGTCACTGAAAAAATGAAAGCAATCTATAAATGGGAGAAAATAGCTACAAATCACAGATTCGATAAAAATTCAGAATTTGGGATATGAAAAATTCTTACAATTAAACTATACCAAAAGATTAACAATGCAATAAAAACGGACAAAGCACTTGAATAGATCTTTCTTCGAAGAAGACATAAAAATGGCAAGGAAGCATGTAAAAACACTCAACATCATCAGTTATAAGCAGCCACTATGGAGGCTGAGTCAGGAAGATTGCCACTTTGAGGTCACCCTAGTTTACATAGTGAAAACGTCTCAAAATAAAATAAAAAGGAGTAGGAGGATAGCTCAAGATGTAGAGGACTTCTCCAGCATATCCAAGGCCCTGGGTTTAATCCCTAGTACTAAGAAAGAAAGAAAGAGAGAGAGAGAAAAAAAAGAAATAAAAAGGAATGTAAAATGGAAGGTGCACTGTAAAATACAATTTGATGGTTCCTCAAAAAGTAAAACAAGATTAGCATGTGACTGAGCAAGTGCATTTGTAGGGATGTA